TTTGGACAAATATGACCTTAAATTTTGACAAGACTTTCAAACATGGGTTTTGGTATGGCTACTCTTCAAATGTTTCTAGGAATGATATGCTGGGCTGAACATCCTCTCTTATTGTCCTGTTGGTTTTTTGGAGATGTAAAATACTGTAAAATTGTAATTTGACTTGAGTTACCATGTCAAATTTCTTAACATTGTACTGGAGTGTTTTTGTGTAACTTAGATGATTTATTTCATTTGTTATTCTGATGCTAAGAAAACAATAACTACTTGTGTCTCAGTCGTATTGGGAGATCACTTCAGACAAATATCTTGATTTTATCGAAGAATATATCGTGGGGATTGGACCGTGGAAGGATACTTTGGTTACTGCATCACACAATTATCTGCAAAAACCTACTGATCTTGTTTCCAGAGCACATGCCCGTAATCTTCAGGTACCTTTTTTTTTTTTTTTCCCCGAAGTTAATTTATAGCTGATTGTGGTCAGGCCTATAATTATTGTACGTGCCAAATTTTGAAATTATTTGGACACTGCATTACACGCATAGAAATGGCTTGTCTTTTGGTCTACATTTGCTGCTGTATTAACATCATTTGCACCATTCAAGATATTTTTATAGTAATCTCTTTAGTGTGAACAATGGTCGCAAGATGGAGAGGCGTATTTATACTACATGCTAAAAAACTCAATTGCGATGGCAAGGGATGTGAAATAGAAAAGACCACTATCATTAGGACATTACATTAGGGGCATGATTGGTACAAAGTAATGAAATGAACAATGCATATTAACTTTGTTTTCCTTTTTATTGTCATCCAACATTGTCACATCTAACTTAACAAACATGCATAAGTTTTCTCTTTCTTTCATATTAAAGTTTTTAAAAGTAAGCTCCTTCTCAGGGACGGACAATTTCAATTTACTAACGAACTATGCTTGGAGCTGGTTCTTCACTTAGTACTTGTTTGGTAGTGCTCTTAAGTGCTTATAAAATGTGGATCCTACAGAGTGTGTGTAGATTATAAGTGGATAGTAAGTAAGTTGTGGATCCCATGAAATTGTTGGAGCTGCAATACTTCACCTAATTTTCTATCAATTTATTCATTTTGACCTTGATGAATTGGCAAAAATATTGAGTCGTGTGCTTTTTCTTTTGATCCAGGTGCATCCATACACTTTCCGCAACGAGAACCAGTACTTACACTTCAACTTCAGTCAAGATCCATACAAGGAATTCGATTACTGGATAAATGAGATTGGGGTCGATGGACTGTTTACAGACTTCACAGGCAGCCTCCACCAATTTCAAGAATGGACTTCTCCATCATCAACTGGAGAGGAAGATGCAAATAAGCTGCTAGATAAGATTGTCTTTATGATATCAAAGTTCAAAAGAAAATTGTAAGGGCCTCACAATATGGAAAAATAAAGCTGTGATATCATGTACCAAATTTGTTGTTTATGGTCAAATTCGCATCTAATAATGCCAAAAGAAAAAGAATATAAAGGGCATGTTTGAACCTCATTTTTGGTATAAAATGCATTTTGAAATAGTAGATTGATTGAGAATGTGTAATTAAAAAATAAGAAAAAGTTTTGGGCTCGTGTGTAATATTATTTTATTGAAGAATATGTGGTTGAAAAGAAGAGAGAAAAATATATTTTGAAAAAAATGGGGATCAAACAATGGCAAAACCTTGTTTTCTCGAACATTGTTTTGGGAATAGTA